GATGTTTTTAATAGAGATAGCTGCCCTGTAGTGCTCCTGAAAATAGTGTGAAGTGACACAAATAGAATAAAGAATACATGTTTAAAAAGAACTTTGTAACATGCAATTAACTAATGTGTCACCATAGAGATAAAACGTTGGAGCCTCTCTAATGGTATTGCTAGGGGTTAGGCCTGTCTTCTCTGTAATATAAATTACAATATTTAATTAAACAATACTTTTTTATCCCATGTGTTAATGTTTTTTTTATATTTTTGTTTAATGATAATTATTCATTTTCTTTACTCATTGATAAAATACTTAGGGCCTTACCACTAATCAGGCCTATCCACTATGTGAAACTACTTATTAACTTTTATCACGTATACAGCCTAGTTTTTATAATAAAACTCTGTATAATAAAATGTTATTAAAGCCATTATCTTTCAATTTATTAGAAAAATATTTAAAATATCTAAGTAATTGAGATAATACTACACCTTTTATTACATGTTTAGAAATGTTTGTAGAATGTGTGGGAAGACCAGTTTGAATTTAAAGGGAACTCCTAAAACATTGTGACAAAAATTGTGTTAAAAGAACTTTATTCATTAAAAGTTATTTCAAGATCTAAAAAGTGTATTGAATTTACTTATTGTATTATATGAATTTTACAGTAGTTCATTTGTATAAATTGTAAATAACATGTTATTATAATCTTTAAAATTCATAACTTAAATCATCCATTGATCAATAATTATATGTATTATATTGTTGTCATAAATTGAACCAGTAATAAATTTTCTTTAATGATAAAACAAATATAGATTAGCCAGATTAGTTGAATAATTACCATCTATTGGAATACTGATGATTTGTTTATATATATATGTTTGAAATGACTAGAATTATTATGTAAATACTATTCAAGGAAGTTTTCTATTTGATTTTTTGTTAAATTAATATTATGATATTCTTTAATTAAAGAGAATTTTAAAATAAAAATAGAAATTACTTAAGATGTTCTTGTTTAATTTTAGTGGATAAAGTTGTTAAATCAAATGGTTTCTTGCATTTAAAATTATATTCTGAGCAGATATTTTTTAATGGTAGAAATAACTTCTATACTGTTATGTATAATCTACCCGGTATGTGTTTTCATTAGAGTTTATATTTTCTTTTTATAGTTCACCAAGTTGTTGAATATAATAGAGGCTGGTTTAACAGCCAGTTGTTTTGAACTCGTAATAAATTGAAAATTGCAGGATGTAAAATTTTGGTATAATGTACATGATTGGAAGCTGATGATTATCAGGCAGTGCGGTAGCAATGAGTCCGGTTTTCGTTTTTCTTTCTTCCTTTCCATCAGCTGTAACTTGTAATCCACAGTGTGCCTACTTCCAGCCTGCACACCAAAACACTTCACTACTCCCTGGGATGTGCCTTTTCTAGGTTAGTTACAGCCCAAAATATATGCAATGACACAGATTGTTTAATATTGCGCTATACACATATCAATCAATAGATAGCGCCACCTGGGATGCTAACTGTAAAAAAAAAAAAAAGTCCAGAAACTAGCAATAAAAAATTTTCATTATAAAATTGTTGGGCATAGGGATGGAAAAAGATCAGAAACTGGAGAGCATTTGGGATGGGAGGAAAATCTGCATTACCAATTCCTGTATTCCACCACCTAACTTATATATGTATCCACCCTTTGAGTGGTTGAATGTAGGAATGGGTAATGCAGATTTTCTTCCCATTCCAAATGCTCTCCAGCTTCTGATTTTTTTTCCATCCCAACACCCAACAATTTTAGATTAAAATTTTTTATTGCAAGTTGGATAGTAGATTAATTTTCTTATTTAGTCATTATAATTCAATGAAGTAGCTTGAAGAGTTTCTGAGTTAGTATCATATGGGTGTATACATTTTTGTATGAAAACAATTTTTCTTTTACCTATTAACCTGTTTATATATTATTTCGAAACAGTTTCTTTCATAACCGATCTAGATGTATTTATAAACTCTTTTCTGCTGTAGTTATAGGAGCTATAGGGCAGCCATCTTCCCATAACCTACTGCAGTAGGTGACAAATAGTAAGAAAAATGGAAGTTTTGAGCTACGGCACCATTTGTCACCATAATGAATATATGAAAGTAATTCTTCGCCCCTCTTTTTTAATTTGAGTTGACTGAAATGACAAGTTTTAAAGTCTAAAGTATTTTTTCAATATGCATTTTATACTAGCTATATGAAATGCATGCTCAAATCTTTCTGGAAGGTATGTAAAAGATGTTTGCTAGTGTTGTAATTTTTTTTTGTATATTAATTTATGCATTCGAAAAACATTTTATATATGATGCATTATAATTTGTAAATACTTGGGATATGATGTATAGATATGTAAATATTTATATTTTAAATACATCATACATAAATGTACTTACACTTTAATGGATAGCTATTTGAGTGTGTGTGTGTATAAAGATTTACGTAAATAAAGAAAAAAGAGCATTGTTAGTGAATAAATAAAGAAAATACTCTACCAACATGTGAGGCCTAAATTGTATTATCTGCCTTTATGACTTGGTTCTTTTTAACTACAAAAGCATATGTACATTGTATAACTAATAGTAATTATCATGTACATTAGATGACTGAAAGGTTAAGACATAGTCTATGAAAAGTAAAGAATTTCATAATTTTGTTATTTTCAGCTTATAGAATGTTCAGAAATGTTATAATTGTGACATGACATTTAATGTGTTATACCTTTATGTTTTATATTATTCAGTGAAAGTTAGATGTTAACACATCAAATTTATGGGACTAGGTTGATAACAAATAAGAACAGCTGTACAAGGATAAGTTTGATAGTTTATAGAGATGTTTATATGTAAGTAAAGTACCTTTAAGATCAATTGGAATATAAAAACTGGAGAAACATTCCAACAAACTTTAAAAATTATCACCTAAAAAATTTTAGTAAAGATTTGCATGCCAAAAATAGTGACTTGGAATCATGTAATCAAAATATATCTGGTGACAGGATATGAAAATAATTTCAACAAGAATAATGAAATAGACTAAACTAAAATTAATTGAATAAGTGAAATTTTAGATGTCAGATAAAGTTATGAAAACAACTAACTGAAACATAAATTCCACTAAGAAAAAATTAATTATGTATCCAGGAGAATGAGGCAGGAAAAGAAGTACATGCATGCTAAAGTGTTGTATGATTTATTACAAAGCCTACATTTATTACAGAATAAAATTAGGAATTTAATTCCTTACCCTCTAAGTTTATTTCTACATGTATCTCTAATAGTGTAACAATTTAGAACCTGTTTTGACATATGATGGACTAAATAGTGAAAGTGCTACCAGCCTACTTATTCCAACTTTTTCTGTACGCATCTCTAGAAGTAATATGTTAGAACTTGTCTTACTGAATATGAAAGTGAGTGTTCCCAGCCTACTTATTTTGTATGCATCTAAAGAAGTAAAATGTTATAATTTGTTTACACTGGTGATGGACTAAATAGTGAAAGTGCTACCAGCCTACTTATTCTGTCTTTTTCAGTATGCATCTATAGAAGTAATACGTTATAATTTGTTTTCATTGGTGATGGACTAAATAGTGAAAGTGCTACCAGCCTGCTTATTCAGACTTTTTCTGTATGTATCTGTAGAAGTAAAATGTTATAATTTGTTTACACTGGTGATGGACTAAATAGTGAAAGTGCTACCAGCCTACTTATTCAGACTTTTCAGTATGTATCTGTAGAAGCAATATGTTATAATTTGTTTTGACTGGTGATGGACTAAATAGTGAAAGTGCTACCAGTCTACTTATTCAGACTTTTTCTGTATGCATCTATAGAAGTAATACGTTATAATTTGTTTTCATTGGTGATGGACTAAATAGTGAAAGAATTACCAGCCTGCTTATTCTGTCTTTTTCTGCATGAATCTATAGAAGCAACATGTTAGGTCCTGTTTTACTGAACATGAAAGTATTCCCAGCTTACCTATTTTGACTTTTTCTGTATGTATCTGTAGAAGTAATATGTTAGAACCTATTTTGATTGAACACTGAACGTGTTCCCTGCTTATTTATCTAGTAATTTTTGAAACAAATTCATAAAATAGGGATGGTTCAAATTGCTGTAAGTGAAAACTAATTCTGAGGTCAATGTTTGAGCCAAATGGCACTTATCCTTCACTGGGATCCTGATAACAGTTGTTTGGCTAATACATTAATTACGTAAAGCTTTTTTTCTTTGAGTAAATTTAGTCATTTCTCTGTATATTCAGATTTGATTGTATTATTGCAGAATTTGTTTTCTTTTCTTGTTACTTTGTGAATTGAGTTAGCTGTTTCATAAGCAATGATTGGTATTAGTTTCTCTTAAGAGAGCTTTGACATTATTAAATAATTTTAATCACCCTTTGAAAACTTTTGATACAAACCTGAGTTGTTCTCACAGATTCCACTAAAACTAAAAGTGAAGTGGTATTAATATGGTTTCATTTAATATGGTTAGACAGTACTCAAGCAATTCTAAACAATGAAAGATGATTAAAATATCACCAGTAATATATCTTACACAGCTAAGCCTATGGGGCTATTGATACTGAAGTGTAGGTGAACTAAGAATAACGTACTAGATCTAAGCAATGAAAGATGATTAAAATATCACCAGTAATATAGCTTACACAGCTAAGCCTATGGATTAACTGTATGGGGCTATTGATACTGAAGTGTAGGTAAACTAAGACTAACGTACTAGATCTTGTAATAACTAATATGATACATGTATGTCTTAACCATATATAGGTACCCGAATAAAAAAATAATTGGTAATTTTATTCATTTGATTTTTCTTTTAAACAGTTGATGTGTAAACTATCTTCTGTGATATGTAGACATTCATTTCATTCAACAGCTTCAGTGATTTAACTTTGGCTTTTGTAATTCATCAGTTGGATACCTTTTCTATTATTAACATTTTTTGCTAGCATTTTAACATATTAGATATTGATATTGGATTATTAAAATAATTATTTAAGGATTGTGTTATATTCTGAGCCTTTAAAATATCACCAGTGACTTTGTTATGCATATAATTTTGCTTCATGACTTCAAGTTAATATAGTTATAATTCTAACCCGTAAGTTCAATTTATATTTGGTTCCCTTTAGGGGTGTAGTTAAAATAAACTAGTATTTTTTTCCTGGGTATACCCAGAACTACAATTTGGTCTTTGTGGGGAGGGGGGGGGGGGGTCTTTTTCCAAAAATATATGGACCTTTTCTTCTATAGAAAGTATTTAAGTGATTTACCTTCAAAAGAGAACAAAAACAAAGAGAAGCTTAGCTTACTTCTCAGTAATAAGCTGCTGAATTGTAAATGTCATGGGTAAATCTTTGCAACTAAAAAAATCAGAAGTGAACCTTTTAGACTCCTTAGAATATTGGGATGACCATTTGACCTCCTTTAACTATGCCCCTGTTTGCTTGTTTGTTTTGCATTACTTTGGTTTAAGCATTCACATGTAAAAATACAATATTTAAACCAGTTGGCTAATGTGATGTCATTCATTGCTATTTTTGCAGAATTTTCTTAGACTTGCACTACATTTCAGGTTATTATTGACCATTGGGTTTAAACATGTCTCACTAAAATTTTTATTTCCTCCAATCAAAGTGAAGTTCTCTTGTTAATGAATTATTCATGAAAATGGCAATATGCTGTAAAATTATTTAACAGGTTCCACTTTTTAGCAGTTTCATCATTTAATAAATTTAAAATATAATACATAACCTAATTTTATATGTTAAATTAATAACACCACACTTTAAACCACAGTTTTGGTTTTTCTCTGCACTTCCTGTTATAGTCTCATTAGTAAACAGGAAGTTTATATCTGAAACAAAAGCTTTATGCAAAATCTTAGTCTATTGTTGCTATTTTTTTTATTTACTTTACATTATTTATATGTAGGCTTTTCATGTGAAATAAGCACCAATAATAAAAACTGTTAAGTTTTTTACTACATTTAACAGGTTTTTGCATTGCTAGTATGATCATTTCTAGTTTTTCAAGTATAGTGCTTTTATGATAGTGCAGTGAAAAATAATGCATAAACAGTTGAGTGCTTTAAATCCTTAAGTTTAATTTGCATTTGGTTCCCTTTAGGGATCTAAGTAAAATAATTTAGTAGTTTTTCAGGAGTGTAGCCAGTGCTACAAAGTGGGTTTTTTTTTTTCCCAAAAAATATGTACATTTTCTTCTCCAAAAAGAACGTTTTATAGTGATTTACCTTAGCCTTAATGAAGCTTGTAAAATGAAAGTATTCAAAACTTAAGAGAGTAAAAACATGATCAACATGAAAAGAAAATCATATAAATTATGTTCATGTGAATACATCATTAAATTTTGCAGATCTTCAAATGAATTATTTTGTAAAAGTCAAATAAAAATTGGTTTTGTGAATGCATTATTGCAGTTTGACAACTTTGTTTTTATACATAAATTTTATTTTGTGAGGATCTAAGGAATTGATTTTCTAGGTTTCTATTGGAGTTAAAGACATTGTTATAATACATAAATCTTATTTTTGTAAGAATTAGATAGAAATTTAGTGTGTTGATGCCAAGTCAAATGTTAAGAATTTTGTAACCAAGATTTTTTTAAAGGATTTACTACAAAAGTAGTTTATAAACAAACTTCCATTTCATTGAGTGAAAATTTATGAACTTTGTACATGAAATTTTCAATGAATTTATAATACCAACAATTTTGTAAGGGCAAATAACTACCTACTAAAAGTTTTTCAATGAAATTCTTCAAGATTTTCAAGTACAGTCAAACAATCAACTTTTACAATAATCTATATGTACACATAGTTAAAAATATCGATAGAAGCAAAGGTATTTTTACGTTAATTTTTAACTTAAATCAAAATAGTTCTAAGCATTATTTTTCTCTCTCTCTTAGTATAGAAGATAACATAGATACAGTTTAGAATTTTTTTGTGTAAAAAAAAAATTCAATTTGAAGAAACTATCCATGTGTCATGCTGTCTTAATACCAAGAATTGTGATGTTGACAACTTAGCCATGTTTCGTTGGAGTTCATGGTGTTATTTTAGACAAAATAGGAATAAGTGTTATGTTCAAATTGGGGCATTTCAATGTTTTTACTGTAGGTATTTTTTATTCAACTAAAAAAAACATACCAACAATAATTTTTAAAGACACGAAAACGTGAGTAATTTTGCAAACTGTATATTTTTTAATGTTAATGTAGTTTACCAAAGTATTTTTACGTGGTTACCAAACTCGATATGTAATGAGAAATTGAAATGTCATCAGATTATATGGGACATTTCAAGGTTCGTCAGGGTTTCTATTTCAACTACACATGCACAACTGATGTTGAAGTGTATATAGTAGGCAAACAAGGTAAGGTGAGTTATTAAGAACGTTGTCATTATAAATTAAAGTGTGAGCTAAAATTTGCATTTACAATGTTTGATGTAAATAGACTGGTGTTTTTTCGACTTTCTTTAAATTTTGGGTTAGGTTTAACAATGTTATTTCGCAGATTTATAACATTCCTAACAGATTTCACGAGGGAGATAATATATTTCATGAGAAAAAAAAACATTGTTATAGAAGAAATGAGAAACTTTAGTTCATGTAATTAGGGTTTCAAGTGATCATATCTATGGAAGAGTGTATAAATTCGTAATTTTTTAGTTTATGTAATGAAGAAATACTTAGTTCTATAGTAACTATCGATATATTTGTAGTGTTTTGAGGATCATTAATTCCATTTCTTCCGACAAATGCAATACAGGAACCTCCCTCTCATCTCAGATATCAGTTTGAATATTTTTAAACTTCTCCCTACGTTATGACTCCACTTACATGAAAGTGTTAAGTAATTATTCTTTCTTGTAGTCTGGTGATGTTATCATACTATGTAATTTGAACCGCAAGAAGTGTGTCCAGTCAGATGAGACCTAGGGGAGGGGGATTAGTGATAGTTTGAAACATCAACAGATCACCGCTATATAAGGAGAGCTTGAAGTAATTTAAACGATTTTGACAATTAAAAATTAATAAACGTTTCTTGTAGGTAAAAAAAAAAGCGTATTTAATAAAATTGGCCCCCCTTCTGCCCCCCCCCCCCACACACTAAATCTTTGCCTTCAACATACTCCGAATACAAAATCATAGAAAATTGTTTTGTTGACCATTAATATAGCGTTCTTAGCAAAATTATCATCATCTTGTTTTTTCATGTGTTAATAAATTCACGTAAGTTTATTGTATACATATTTTCCATCAAAATAGAAATTGTATGTAATTTCATCGTTTGTCAAAATGTTTTTTCCCGTTTCGTGATACACGTTTGCAATTGGTACACGTTTCGTAAGTAAATTTGGAATACGTTATACAGATAAATTCACTTACATAAAAATTCGTGTCTTGGGTACGACTCTAATAAATACGTTATTACAAGTCTAGTCTGAACAGGATCTTTTCTGGTTGGTAGTGTCATTAAACCAAACATACACAGGTTTGTAATTAAGTATTCGATATCGTAGTTGATATAATTATCCGGTTAAAAAAGTATCTTTTTTTTGTATGTTGTATCAATACATTTTTCAAGAGTAAAAAAAAAGGTGCGTTGATATTCTGGGCCTGTTGGTTGGTGAGAACAGAAAGAAGAATAGAAGAACGTAGTAAATTAATGAGTGAATAAAGATTTAGATGAGCATGTACTAAAACATGAAGTTTCACTTGTGAAACAGGACGCACTGAATTCAAAGGTCCATTGGTTTTTTTCCCACAACCGCAAAAACCTTGCTCGGACTTTGGTTGTAATAGTCGCAGTCAAATCCCACTATTTGATTAGAGTAGCCCAAGAGTTGGCGGTGGGTGTTGTTGACTAGCTGCTTTCCTTCTAGTGCAGGGGTTCTCAAACTTTTTTGCTGTCCTCCACCTGACAATATTTCGGCTTGTAACGATCCCCCCCCCTCCTTCACACACACAAAATGATAGCAGATTACTGTACGTACTCTGAAATATCAGTCATTGGAATATATTTTATGATCTCGCAGGTCCTTGAGAGGTGAGACCCCAGTTTGAGAAACACTACTCCTGTGTATCGGTTCAAAATCAGAAACGGATAGCTAGATAGTTTTCACGAGGCTGCGCGAAATTTCGAAACAAAAATGCGCACGTGAAACATTGTGTAGAATGAGTTTTAGTCATCAGATATTATTTTGTTCTTGTTATAGAGTTTTTGGAATGGAGGTTATTGTTAAATCACATTTGTGTATCAAAATTTCTTCAAGTTCTCAATTTGTTTTCTTTTTTTTTAAATAAGTAATGGTACAATAAGAAAGTATCTACTTAAAGATTTTATATAATATAAACAAACACTTTTTAGTGGCATCTTTATATGATACTTTTATGTAACTACTGGAATCTTGTGTGAAATATATACAAAAATATTAGTATTTAATTGTAACTGATAATCCGTGAAAAGGTTGAGTAAAATATATAGAACCTGGAATACTGTCATTTCATAGTCAACAGATCTTTAATGATGTCATTTTAATTAACAATTCTGATAAATGATTCCAGAATTATCTGTATAAAAAGTTTTGAGAAATAAAAGTTAAAAGTGTATGTTAGGTTAAGCTGTCCCATTTATTTTTTGCATATAAAGTCATTACAACATCTCATTAGAATATGTAGGACAATTGAGATTAATACAAATTAAAATCCACATACTGTGACTTAACAGTAAAAATATGACTTTACTTGTAATTAACACGGCTACCTTTTCTTTCGTCTTAATTATCCAAATGAATAACTCTTTACCAATTTTTCTAAATATTTACATACTTATATTCATTATAGCAGGAAATTATTTAGATTCTATGGCATTTCTTGATAGCAACTTAACTTTTTATCTCAGATCTAATTTTCACAGAATACGACTAGCGGAAATTTAGTACTATTTTAAAGTGGTTTCGATAATGTGATGAATTGTAAAATTTATCGATCAATTTATAATTTTGATTTTAACTAGTAATAGATGACTAAATATGAGCTCCCCCAGTGGCAAAGCGGTATGTCTGCGGACTTACAACGCTAGAAACC